TGGGGCGCCTGAAGCTCTTTAGCTGGGAAGAGCGCGCCCAGACAACCTTGTCCACCTATCTCTTCTCCCGCGTAGCAAGCTCTGTGCAAACCCCGCCCCATCAGCAGGCCTCTCGCTGCTAGGAAGCCTCTCAGATCGCCTGCCCTTACTTTGTCCCAGAGCAGCCGCATGTGGATCCCTGCCCTCCACAAACAGCTGGGATCTCAGGCTCTCAAGCACTCCGCCTGTCCCAGTTCCCCAACCCCAGCAACCTCCAGAGCACCACACAGTGTAAGTCTGTGGTCCAAAGTAGACCTCCAGGGCTGGGTGTTCGGCAGTTCTAGGCTTCCACCACCTCCCCACTCCATTTCTCTTCCTCCCACCAGTGAGCTGGGGAGGGGGAAGGGCTCGGGTCCCGCCAGATCTAGGCTTTCGTACAGTACCCTGTTCCGTGAGGTCAGCTCTGTTCGTGAGGTCTGTATGCAGTCTAGTGCAGCCTTCTTTCCTGTTGCCTTTTTAGGGCTAGTTGTATTAATCATATTTTCACACTGTATGTGGTTGTGGGAGGAATTCTCTGTCTCACCTCTCAGTCCACCATCTTCCCTTCATATGACTAAGTTTTTTTATTACATTATCATTGATAACACAATCTTATGATGGTTTCAAATACACAGCACCATGGTTCAACATTCACCCATATTATCAAGTCCTCACCACCTACGGTGTAGTCACTTGTCTGTCAACATAGTAAGATGTTATAGAGTCATTAACTGTACTCTCTGTGCTGTACTACGGTCCTTGTGACTAACCTATACTGTGATTGCAAATCATAATGCCCCTTAATCCCCTTCTCCCTCTCTCCCCACCCTTCCCTTTGGTAACCACTAATCCCTTCTCAGTGTCTACAAGTCTACTGCTATTTTGTTCCTTCTGTTTTGCTTTGTTTTTATAACTCCACAAATAAGTGAAATCATTTGCTATATGACCAAGTGTTTTTTTGATATGTTTGACAAATATCCCTAAAATCAAATTCTAAATGCAGTTTTTTTAACCTTGAACTTAACTTTGGGATTTTTCCAGAGGGTCCCTTAAACATCTCAAAAGATTTATTCTCTCTCCTCACAAAAAGAGAAATATTAAAGTAATCAGGCTTGATATGTTAAATTACATAGGAAGCATTGTCAAATGAGTAACAAATAAGTAATGTACTGTCAAATAAGCCTTTTTATGTTGTGTTTGTATAGGTATAATTTATAAAAGTTATAGAAATTATCTGAAATTCCTAGAAATCTGAAATGTCTTGGTATGTTATCAACCATAATTTCAGTTTTCTTAAAATGTGTATGTTAGAAACAAGCAAATTTCCTTGTCAGTTCCATTATAATGAATATCATCAGACCTTTAACCATGGGCATTTTAAAGTCTTTTATCATTTACAGATAGGTATTGTAATTCTAATGCTTTTGCAAAAGAGTTCCTACAGAAGTGCTTTGTCTTTAAGGGCATTCATGGAAAGGAGTTTAACAAGTACAGGTTTCTGATAACTTTAAGGTCATAAAACTGAACTGGGTAAGAATTTCCAGAACTAGTGGAAAAACTCCATTCAAGGAGAACAAATATTAACTATATGAGACTGAATAAACTGAGGAGGATTTTAATTTTTACATTTTGTTTGAAACACAGCTGACTCTTTAATGTTTTATTTTTCCAGATTTAAGGTAACCTTTTCTCTTAACTATCTATGACTTAAATTTGGTGAAGTATGCTTTTGTAAAAAATGTGGAAACATTTTCTTTTTCTCCCTACCTGATTGCTCCAGGATTCAGAAACTCTTGAGAATTCTCTTCATGGAAATATAGTTAGTTATCTGCATACGTTCATAAGAACCTGTTCTCCATATAACAGGACACTTGGAAATGCTGGCTGAATTGCCATGGCTTTGACTGGAATGTCACATTTGGGAGAGATATGCATAGACTCAGAGCTCATTATTCTTGCTGCACTTAGGTAAAGAATCAGGCCAAGTTTAATGCAAACAAGGAAATTTTACTTTGACTATCTTTGGGAAAAAATGGGGATGATTGTAGAGAGAAAAATATATTAGTTTCTTGTTCTGTTAATTGTCTTTGAGGTTTTGTTATATACCAGTAAATTGGACTAGATCTTGAATTCTTCTAGTTTCCTCAAATATTTGGCTATGGCTTTCCAAATCAACTTTTTCCATTTTCTCCCACCTTCTGATTTGGAATCACTGAGAACAAAGACTGCCTTTGAATTTCCTTGAATGTAGTGTTCCAGATGGCAGCCAAATTTCAGAGATGGGAAGCTTAGGGACACATATCCTACTTTAAAAGGGTCTCCTTCAGACTCTAGGACCTGCACCCCAGCTGGAGACCTTAGAATCAAACTACCTATGAAGAGAAGTGGCCAACATTAAGGTGGACCGCGTCTTCCCAGGACGCTGGATGAAGAATACTTCTTTCCATTTCTCCTTCCCTCTCTGACCATCCTTTTCCTGATTCTTATGCCATCTTTATGATTCTCTGGTCCACCTTTTGCCTTGTTCTGTCTTGGGAAGATATCTAAGGCCATTACAAAGTGGGTTAATCCCATTTTCAAAAAACTGCTTGATTTGCCACAATGCTCGTGATTCTGTAATTCTGTTCATAACACACTTCTCCCTGATATCCAATGCCTCAGTTTCTATGGAATAAATGCAGACTCCTCTCAAATTTTTCTGGGCTCCCTAACCCTGGGGGGTCCATTTCCCTGTCTCTGGTTTACAACCCCAAATCCAGAGAACTTTGCACCCAGGCCCTGCACAAAGAAAGGGACATGAGGTAAGGGAACCAGAATAAAACCACCTGTGTGGTCTGTAGACCCTTAAGTTTCACTGGCCTCCATGGCTGTCACCATTCTAGTCTTGAGCTACAGATTCAAATCAGAAGTACCAGGAAGCATTCATAATTCAGCATCAGCTTCCTTTGGTAGATCCTTATTTGCATGGTCAGGAGCAAATGTAAATGGGGTTACAATCAGGAGCCTTACTTGTGGAATTCGCTGCTATACCAACAGATGTCCTTGCTGACAGGACAGCACTTGATCATCTTTTAGCTGACTAATGAGGCATCTTTTGTGGCTACCACCACCTCCTGCACCTGGATTAACACTTCTGGGAAAGTTGAAACTCAGTTATGTAAGATCACTGAGCAAGCCAGGCTTAAGAAGAGGCTCCTTCAGCAGGGTTTTCCTTTGACTTAAATATTTGATTTGGATTGTTTTTGGCCTTAGGAATGATGGCTCTAAAATTCACTCCAGACATTGGGAATATGTTGTTTATAAAAATCATAGTAGTCTTTGCAGCATGCTGTATTCTCTCAAATGCTTTAAATGCACATTTACAGCTGTTAACCACCAAGCAAATGATCTCCTGAAGACTGGAATGTCAAAAAAGGAATGAAGAGAATGACCTACTTAAAAAACATGAACCTAAAGTCATGACATGTGACCACCACACAGAGGATCAGCAAAACCTGCAAGAACTTCAGAGCAGTAGCTGGGAGTGGTGCCAATACCTTAACTTTTGATCACGGCTCTCAGTCTGAGAGTCGTGATCAAAAGGGGCAACAGTTCAAAACTGGAGTCACATGCTGAACCCCACATACGCAAACCAAGACTTAATAGGTCTCCTAACTGCAGTTTTGGCCTCTCCCAGGAATGTAACCTTTAACCAGTCAATCTGGAAATACCCAGTCAGATGATCTGCCCAATGAGATCCCCACCTTCCTCCAAGGGAAGGTGATCTTGCCCCAAACAATCCACTCTTTGCTGGAATAACTTCCTTTACTCACCTCCTCTGCCTATAAAAGTCTTCCATTTTGTATAGCTCCTCAGAGCTCCATTCTGTCTGCTAGATAGCATGTTGTCTGATTTATGAATCGCTGAATAAAGCCATTCAGGGAAAATACAAGTTCCTATGGGAGGACCCTCACATGACCCTAAACTACTTGATGATGTAACTGGCCTACTGCTAGGCTACTGCTTCCACACCTGAGGCAATAAGCTCTTATTGACTGAGTCACTATATAAAGAGCTCTGCCCCATGACTGGGTGGAGGCAGAGAGGAAGGAGGATTACAGCTGAAGACTGTTGGATGGAGGCGTGATTCTAGTGCTCGACTTATCACCAGGAGAATAAAGCCTGGTATAAACCCTTTTAACCCCAAGAACAGTTCCATTGTCATTTCTCATTTTCACTGAATCCATAGTGAACTTGCCCAGGGCTGTGTTCTTGCCAATGGGTTTCAGCCCCGGGCAAGTTCGCTATGGATTCAGTGTGACCAAAGAAAATGACAGCAAAACGTTCTTGGGGTGAAAGGGTTACACCCAACTTTATTTCCAGGTGGCAGGTCAGTCACTAGCATCCCGTTCACTCAGAGCGAGTCTGCATGCAGCAAGCCGGTCTCTGCCTCTGGGCCCCTCTGTCTGCACAGCCATCCTCTGGGCCTCTCTGCACAGTTGTCCTGCACAGCCGTCCTCTGGGCCTCTGTCCTCGGCGCTGCCACCACTCCAGCCTCTGCTCTGCTCTCCTGCAGCCTTGCAGCCCTGCCACCGTGTGGTGTCCAGCGCACTGGACAGAGCTCTTTTTATAGAGTCAACAGCCATGTATGGCCCACAGGTGTGCAGTGAGGTAGTCCAGGGCCAGGTGAGAATCCTGGCCACAGGAACTCTCATTTTATCCGCAGCTGAAACCCTCAGGCAAGACAACTGGCATACTCAGCAGGATTCACTGTAGACCAAAACCAGAACAGGCTGCCCTCATGGAAGGGGTGCTTCAGCGGGCTGCCCCTATGAATGGGGAGACATTTGAGTGTCCCCAGTGGGCATGTGGTCTGAGGTGGCTTGCCTCCTAGAGGGCTGGGCCCCACCCCAGGACTGGAGGCAGGAGGATATGACCACTGAGGCAGCAGGGGTGGCCCTTGTCATAATAAGGAGGTCCTCTAAGGAGCAGGGTGCCCGTGAGGCAGCGGGAACTGTGCGTTGGCTGTTCCTCGCAGTATTTAGAAAGTCTACAGGTGAGAACTGCAAGAGACACAAGAAACGGCAGCACGAGAACACGACCTGTGCAGTGCCGTAGAGTTCTGAAGAACGAAATGGCATTGATATGAGAGGGGGCAGCATGAGAATGTGAGCTGCAGGGTGCAGTGTAGTAGGTAAAAGATTCTTTGCGGAATGAGACAGCAGTGCTGCCAGGTGCTCTGAAGAAGGCAAATGTCATGAAGGAGGAGGAGGGACTTCCGAGAGAAGCACAGAAGAGGCGGTACAAGAATGCCGGCTGCGCAGCATTGAGGTGAAGGTAAGACAGCTGCTGAAGACTGAGCCGGCATTGCTGTGAGGCACTGTGGAAACGGTAAAGGGGGTGGCAGCGGAGGCGCTCGGGGGAGGGGACAGAAAGGCGCCATCAGCGTGGAGGAGCTGGGGAAGGATGAAGGGCTGCAGCCGGGGGCACTGACCCCTCGTCTATTGAAAGCCTGCACAGTTGTAGTGAAGAAAATAAAGATGCAGCAACCACGGGTTCCTCTGGGAGAGGTGCAGCCCCTCAGTGCTCCGCCCCTGTACTCAGGCTGAGCTGGTGGATTTGGGCTCCTGGTTTTGGCAGAAGCCCCCAGAGTCAGTATCAGCTTGGCTTCGGAGTCTTTGGGATGCAGTCGGGGATGGAATTTTTCTGTCTGGATCAGAGATGGGGAAGCTGGCTTCCCTGACCTTTCATCTTGCCTTGAGGAGTGATTACAAAAACCCCAGAAAAATCACTCCCTCCTCATTCGCATCATCGCCGCGCCTCACGATGTATGGCTTGATCAGGGTGATTTATCATCTTCCCCCACTAGATGGCAGACATACGCCAAGCTCCGACAGGTGGTGTGGGCAGTAGGCATGAAAAATGCCATTTATATTCCTGAGAATTATGGTCTACATGAGGAACCCTTTACTGTGGGAATGAGAAATGTGCTTCAAACGGCCCCTCTGCCCTCTCTGGGCCCCTAGTGGCCATGCCTGCCCCTCATTTAGGACAGCCCGTAAGTGAGGTTATCCATTTGGTAGCAGACTTGGGAGAGGCTGAAACAAGGACAGCACAGAAGGAAATACAGTCTGCTACTCAGAGGAAGAGTTTAAAGGGTCCCATGAAGGTCATGAGGACCCAGATATGGGTTGATTTGATAAAGGCAGGGACAGAGAGAAATTAGATGGAAAGTCAAAATCTTACTGGAG